TCTAAAACACCCTCATGAAACTCTCTACAAAATCATCAAAAAATCGATATCAATGAAGGAGTTGAGAGATTGAGGTCTTCGCAGATCCATAAGATGTAGAGGGAGGTTCTGTATTTGAGAATGAAAGCTGGTTGAAAGGTTTGATTTGAAAGTCACCTAATCTCTCAATACCCTTCTATATCTTGCTAGTGAATTCTAGATTAGTTTCTTTGCGTTTCTGATATGTTCTTTGTCTCCCTGATTTCAGATTTTCTGTCTCTCTTGATTTGTCTGGTTTGTTTACATATTTTGTTTCTTTTTAGATTTTCTGATTTTATTATCAGGAGATGAGGAGGAAGCTTGTAGATTTATAACTTTTTCTTTTGCAGGTTTTCTATGGTCTTTTCTATGTGAGTCGTATGTTTTTTTATTGTTGAAAATTTGTTACCTTCTTTTTTCACCATCATTTTATTTATATATTTTTCCTTTTGCAGGTTCTCGATGGTCTTTTTTATGCTCATTTTACAAGTTTTCTATGGAAATATGGTCCAATGGTAAAATTTCTCTTCCACCTAATTTTTTATGTTTAAAATCTTAGCTTTTTTTCTCTCTTTGTCATTTTGATTTATTTACAGGGATGATGGAGGAGACTTCAGTTGTGCATCATTTGTATGTTTGGATGAGGAAGGCTTGGATTAGGAGTACGTAGGTCTTGTTAGGAATTATGTTTGTTGTAGAATAAAGATTGGTTAACTATGTAATAACTATTGAATCTTCAAGTTTTATGAAAGAAACTATTTTTGAGTGTATATATTCATTAATAAAGCATTATGGTTGGTTTTCTAGTTAAAATCGTTGTATAGCATCATAGGAAATCAAAAAGAACTAAAATGTAGCAGTTTGGGAATTTATTAGAAGACGATTTTTATAATAAATCATGGTCTTTACAGATAATTAACGACGGTTTTTATAAAAAAGGTCGTCTATTATAGGTAAAGATGACGGTTTTTTTTATTTATAAAAAGGGTCGTCTATTATATGTAAAGATGACGATTTTTTTCAAAAAGGGTCATCTATTATATGTAAAGATGACGGTTTTTTTAAAAGGGGTCGTCTATTGTGAAGTAAAGATGACGTTTTTTTTATTTAAAAAAAGGGTTGTCTATTGTATGTAAAGATGACGGTTTTTATAAACCGTCGTCTTTACAAACAATCCACGCGGTTTTCATAAAAAACCGTCATCTTTACATACAATACACGATGGTTTTATTAAAAATTGTCGTCTTTCCTCCTATAATTAACGATTTAAAAACCGTCGTCTTTACAGATAAACAACGACGGTGAAAAGCCGTCGTAGTTTGACACCCAAATAGACGGCGGTCGATTTAACGACGGATTTCAAAGCATTACAACGACGGTGGATCCCCGTCGTCTATTTCGGTTTTTGTAGTTGTGTTTCAATAAACAATGAAATGTTTATGATACTAATTAAGGGAGTAAAAGTGTTTCAATTTGGATGAAATTATGTATGAATGATCTTCAAATAAGAACCTAAAAATTGAACTGATCGAATTATAAAATTAAAATGTGGAGTAACTTTACTAATCAGTTAGAGCTGGAGTATTGTTGTCTATATACTTATTAAAAAATGAGAAAAAAAAAACTTTACTTTCTAATGTACGTGGAAGGGTTTGAAATTGAGTGCAAAGGACCGGACACACTAGTTTGGCCAACTGACCTAGCCCACATATACATGAATACAATGGCGGACCCACAGAAGTGTAAGTAGGTGTAGACCTCCCCTCCCCGGAAAAAGGTTTGGAGTCACCAAAAGTTGCCCTCTACTCTACCTTGGAGGTGCACACCAACTGTTTGAATCAATACATGAATGACCTTTTGTTTCCTCTTCTTTGATGAAACAAAAGGTCATTCATATTATATACATGATAGGAAAAATAGCTCTGTTTATGAAAACACATCAACAAGGAAACTCAAATCATATATTAAGGTACATAAAAACTCATGTGAAAGCTGCATAACAGCTACTCCCGCCAGAGAGCAGCCCTCCATGAAAGGACCTCAAGTCCGCGCCAGAAAGCAGCCCTCCCTGAATTTCCAAGGAAACAAACCATGACCCATTATTTTATTGTATTTTTTTCAGTTTTTAAAAACTGAAAATTAAGTAAGATTGGTAACTATTTTTGTTTTTGTGTCCTTGTCTTGATCTAACCTAGTGACCATTGGACTAAACTTGATGACCATCGTACTTGACCCAGTGACCCCCACCCAGGAATGACCTTGTGATCCAACCCTATGACATACTGATGGTCAATCTATATAGTTAATTTGAAAAAATTAAATCATCTTTACCAAAAATAAAAATAAATAAATATATTATGTATTCAGAAACCATTTAAGCACTTATTCTTAATTTTCTATATGAAATAAGATCTCTACATTGCTAGGTCGGAGAACTGGAAATTCTAAAATTGTGTTCTTATCAGCCCTTTCGAAAAGAACTTGTGCTCCATCCAAAATTAGCAAAGGTAAAACACACCATGCAGATTACCAAAATAGAAGAGATTTATTATTTATCAGTAGATAACCAAAATCTTTAGTTTTGCTTTCATAGGACCTACCATGTTAAGCCTATTGCAATGAACATAA